GAATGTCCCACAGGATTAGAACTTGATATTTATTACCCAGAATATGGCTTTGCAATCGAAGTACAAGGCGTACAACATGAAAAATATATCAAATTCTTCCATAATGGCGATCCAAATAATTTTATCAAACAGCAAGAGCGAGATCAACTCAAGAAAGAATTATGCGAAAAGAACCAGATTGCATTAAGGTATGTTTGGTATTACAAAGACCCATATTTAGTTATTCCAGAGCATCTTCGAGAATTGGGTCTTATTAAGTAAGCTCGAAACTTTAAATGCTGATTTATTTTAAACAACGCAAAGTATTATATTTACTATTTTTTTTGATTATTACATAGTGATTATGCATAAATGCTTAAGATAAACAAATTAATCCATCAATAAACTTGTACATTTAACTTAATTACACCTATCTAAGTAACTTTTTTCTTTGCGGACTATCCGGTAAGTCTCGCATATATTGTATTTGCAGTGGTGGAGTACTTGTGCCACTTTGATAAGTTCGACAATTGTAGTTCTCAGCAATTTTACTGACCCGTTCCTAACAATGCAAAATATAAATGAAAGATATCATTAATCATTTCATTACGAACTCAAAAATGAAATATATGGTATATATATGTACCTCCAGTACCATAAAGTGCCGAATGTTTGACTCAAGCAAAGGAATGGTGGTTTTATCTTTAACCAGCCGGGTGGTTAAAAAAGGCCATGACCGGTAAAGTCCATCGTATTTGAGGTCCATAACGTACGATTCCACCAAATCTCCTGAAGATATCAGGTATGGTTAAATATGCACGCTTGTAATTGATAAAGCTTGATTTCACTTCAGTTTATTAAGTATACCTTGATTTGTTAACATTACCGTTTCTTCTGGACCACCTTTCGTTCTTAACAGCTGATTGATGGATTTACGCCCTCGCAATTGTACTTTCAATCTGTCTTTTTGTTGTTGGAGAGGTGTAAATCCGGGTGGTTTAATCTCTGAATTCAGAATAGGGATTTCATTGACCAAGCACGACAAATCCGGCCTTGTTGCAGTACCACTTGTCGCACGATTCAACCGAATATTGTACTCTTTGTATGAATTAGTAAAAAACAGTGGTCGGATGATTGGATGTAATAACTTGAAACAGTGCTCATCTTCTGATGTTTTGGTCGGGGCAATGTCAGGAACACTGCTACACCTGTTATGCGCGAAAAAAAAGTTAAGAGGCAGATCCGATCTCATTTTACACGCTTTATAAGATGAACGCTTACATGTCGTTAAAGATTCGAGAAACAACTCGGCCGATTTCAGAATCGTCTATGGACAAAAAGGCGGTCTTTCCTTCCAAGGAATCGGCCGATGCACTCCGTAAAGAAGATGAAATTTCCGTTGGCAGAATTGAATCAGCTACAATGTAAGGATTCTCACGTATAATCGTTTGCCATTCCCGGCCAGTGAAAATATGAGAGGGATAAGGACAATGCAAGCTTAAAACAATTATCGAAGACAATGCTCTATCAAAGCATAAATAGAAATCGTTAGCATAATACATTATCCAATATTATTACATCCAAAATACTTACAGCACTTCATGAAAGTCACACCACTTTAGTCCATAAATCTTCGCTTTCTCAAGTGTTTCTATCTGGTAATTTTTGAATCTTTGCGATACATTGACCGTACCGACTTTCCACTAAAAGCGGAAAGCAAATTGTTAAGATATGCAGAATAAAAACACCAGAGTCTTTATATGTGGCATGCCTCATTTAATTGTTCCCGTAACAACTCCATTTCAACACTTGTGAAATCAAAATTTATCTCTTCGTCATCGTTAGGCCCTACATCGGAAGAAGGCAACTCCGAGGAAGAATCTTCACTTTTATTTCTCGATTTCTGGGACTTAGTCCTTGAAGTGTTTTTCACCTCCTTTTTCGCCTAAATATAGTAAAATATACATAAGTTTTTATGTTATCTTAGCTTTACCATCTACAATTTCTTTTTTCACCTTTTTATGATTTGGCAATTCGACTTTTTCATTTAACATTTCCTGAGAGTACTTATATTCAGTAATCTGTTTGTAGGACAAAGTATTAGAACAAATCCCAATTTTGAAATAGTCCGAACTTTGACAGCTAAAAATGTTACTACCATACCTCATCTTCCTCGTTCTGATTAGTTGCATTCTTCGAATCCTTTTCATGCCGAGATACATCAAACGGATTATTGCTAGTATCTACGGTCATTTCTCCCTCATTCAACTTCCGTTTCAAGGCTATTATTTCGTATCAAGAGAAAAGATTAAAATATATAATACAGGATGTAATGAAAGACGAGTTGATGTATTACCAGGTTGTATAGAAACTGTTTCTTCATCGATTTTGGAGGCATTCCGTTTATAAGACGAGACTTGTTTTTCTTGCACCGCGGACGAAGTCTCCTTAAGACTATTCTTCAAACTCCATCATTCCTTCTTTCTGAAGATCAAAAATAAGGAGTTAGAAAAATATTAGCACTAGAGATAGTTCTTGTAAAGACAACCTACCCACTGCAACTTGGATTTTTCATCAACTATCTCGGATTCCAAAATAATTTCCTGTAGATTCCAGAAGAGTTTTACTGAATTCGATCTTTTATCCTCCTAAAGAAAAGATGGGCATAGGAAGAGTCAAATGAATATAGAATTAATCAAACACAGTACGCAAAGCAATGCTGTATGATCAAACCACAAACAAGTAAGCAACTTTTGTCTTGCAAGGAAGCAACTCACAAGGTGTTTGTGCGAATAAGCAATTCGAAGACTGACTACGGACGAGTAAACAACTCTTATCTTACAAGTAAGCAACTTATAAGATGTCCGTGCGAGTGAGCAACTCACGAGTAGTCCGTTGAAACATCACAGCCTTTCTCTCGTGAAGACAACAAAAATACTTGCCTTAAAATCTTCTTTCCATTTTAGCGCCATCTTCCCGATTTCAGTTGTTTTATCATAATAATTAATTATATCGTTTATTTCAAGAGTATATCAACGGTGTTCAGTTTCCGGATCTGCCAAATCACCCATGTTACGTCGGTAGTCTAAAAACTTCTTTATCGAAGGAGTATCATTGTTCCGCCAAAAGGCTACATAAACGGCTAGGTTACACTATAGAGCATTGTTATGAGAAATAGCTAAGATTGGTCTTACCAGGATATTTCAGACTGTCGATACATTCGGGGCTCAGTTGCATTTTTTACGTGAAAATATAAATCAAATTTTTTAAATTTTAGAGTTAAGTTGATAATCTTTTGTATAATATGCCAATTTATGTGACCGCGTGGTCACAATGTCACGTGCATAGCGCAGAAATATCATAAAATAGATATGTTTATGCGTGAAAATGCCTCACACATAGTAATCTGTAATTCTGGTAGCTCCCATGAAGATATTTCCAAGATTATTAAGCAATATACTGATGATGTAAAAAATGCTTCAATGGTCATTAATAGCTACCTTCGAAAAAAAGAATTTATTGTATTTGATCTCACTAGGCCAGAAGATGATCCTCTTGCAATCCGCCTAA